ATATCAGAACTAAAAGGTAAACATCGTGATGTTGACATGATAGCCAATTTTGCTTCAATTTCGTACTTATGAATCAGTCTTATCTTCCTTGTTAATAAACTCAATCAGCAAGTAAGATATGATTCTAGGCGTAATCGCTGTAGAACTTGTATAACTTTACTGAATACTCATTACTTATTGTTTCATAGTGGTCAAATGTTTTTCATTAGACACGAGGATTGTCAGTGCATCAAGAGCGTGGGAGGATGAATAAAAATCATGGACCAATCGTAGCATTGCAGGGCAGGAATTTTTCCAAAACGAGGAGAAAAAAGCCGACTTATGGATGAGAATTAGAACAGAAGGAGGCGGAACTACTTTTAATGTGCTGACTGGCCGGTGTGACATCCATACATATCATGGTGATCGGGGCAAAAAACTAGGCTTCGCTCACCGCTAGAAATTCATTAGGCGTCGTCGTGAGAGCGTTGATACGGTGTAAAGTCTAACTCTTGAATTGTAGCTGCTTGACGAATCTAACATGACAGATGAGTTCCAGTGGTAATATTGATCAAACATGTAGGCTCTCAGTATCACATCAATAATTTTGGTTCAAATGAATGAAAGTGCAGTTCAAATCTGGGATATGACTCCTTGGCCTTGGATGGCGATCTTTTGCGTGCAGCCAAAAAACAAGAATGACATCTTTATTTCAAAGTTTCCCAGTCGTCACAGCTCTTCCTTTACCTGAAACAACACTCCAATTAAAGCTTAACAGCTTTTAAAAGTAACGTTTGATCCCAAAGATATTTCCACCACGATACTGGAGTGTGCAATTGTTACAGGAAATGGACTGACTGAAGGAGGCGGATCTGTGACTTATGTACTGTCTTCGAGCATACTGTTTTAGAGACTATGAATGAGCACAAGATATATTCGCATCATAGTCAGTCGTAGTGTCATTTCGGAATACCGAGAATGACTGGAAGGTGGTAAAGTTGTCTCACCTGCTACTGTCGAAATATTTTCAAACAACATCCACTGATCAACGCGCATCACATGTTGATGCAGCCGAACATTATGACTCAGTGAAACGTAATCGAGAGAAAATCATTAATAAAAATAACAAGAAAAAACTGTCATGTAACTGCATTTTTATTATGACACAAAGCGTGTGTGTGTTTGTTTGACGTACATGAAATGTGCTCAAAATGTAGGACCAGCCATTGTTATGTCACTAGCGTAATCCAGTAAGTACCTAAATACAAGAAGTAATGTGGATTTTATGTAACTTGAATCAGATTTTCACAGCGACTCACCCATGCAACTTTGTACAATATCCTAAAACATCGTTTGTTTTGATCAATGTATAAAATGTCCTACAATCAGATGGCTCACCAACAATCAGAAGCTGTTTAATACTGTGTTGTCTAATCTATAAAATAATTGAGATTTGAAGCACACTACATCCATTATAATTGTGAAGTGCGGAAATGACCGGAAATGCCTTGAGCTGAGAATTCCTCGAAAGCGACCTAGCGTCAGTAATTTTCCTTCTCAACTGGCGTGCAGCTTTACCTACATTTTTTAAATGCTTCCAAGATGTGACACTTGGCATTGTATCCTAATGGACTGCTGAATCTGGTTCAACCTGAAGATCTTGAATGAGATACTGGGAATCATAATATTGTTTATTGATGTGCTGACATAAGCTCTGTGTATAGACTGAGAATTCTCTTCTTGAAATAAGAATTCTGCAACAAAAGAAAATATTGAGTTTTCTCATCAGTTCTGGTACTAAAGCAAAAGACACTAAATTCAATTAACCAGAAATAATTAGAAATGCTCAACAACTCCATTCAAATTATGCACCATCAGCCCAAACATATATCAGAAATGGAGGTAAAGATGACGGCGTAATACATTTCGTGCGGTGTTCTTGTGTTGCGCATCTGCGGCTGAGTAAGCTCGCCTGGAACTCATCGACTCTTCTTTCACTTCTTGCCTGCTGCCTCAATATCCTGCTGATTGTCGCATGGCCACTGTTTGTTTGGTAACAGGTCCATAAGCCTTTGCACGGTTGATTTTCTCGAAGGTGATCTATACATCGCGTCTCAAATTGTACGCGTAAAACGGCAAATTGCGACAAAGGCTTTGTTGAGTAACCATGATGTGGCATGCATGGACAAATTTTGCACCGAAAGAAAGCTCAGAAAATTCTTCACAAATCACTATTGATTTTTTGCCAGAGAAATGGCAAAAATGTGTTCAGGCTGTGGTGCATACTTATAACCGGGTTGTTAACGCCTTGACAACGATTTGAGCTTTATTAGCTCATACCGCAAGCTGCGTTTGCGGCGGCGCGGCACGGCGGGAAGTCTTTATTATTACGCGTTGCAATGGAAATAGGGGAAAATCTTTAGTAATTTGAGCTACTGAGGGAATATCATAAATACAATTTGATGAAATACAGCAGAAAAGACTTTATATATAGAGAAGAGAAAAAGAAGTTTTATAGCTATGAGAATGCCCATATATCAAAAAATTATCGATGTTTCAACGAAAAAAGTACATTGTTGTGAAAGGAACATATATCCAGCTGTAATATAGCTTCGTTTCTTTCTTCTTCATCCATGTTTTGCAGTCATTGAATATCTTAGGAAATGTCCATTCTCCATATTTTAAATACGTCCTACTAACAAAAAAAAAAAAAGAAGATAGCGCTTGCAAGCACAGTTCATTTTGCAACTTCAAAAGGGATTATTTTGTTTTCCATATTGGAATTTTGATTTTTTGGAAAATTTGTCACTACGAAGTTTAGAACATTGCTGGAGAGTTTTCTGGAAACTTCTTTCTAGTAGAAAGAACGCCGAGGCACCCGAAATATTACCACTCTTTGGTACAATTTGTGCGAACTCCAGTTGTATTCTTTGAAGTGTGCTAGAGTTTCCGTATCTTCTTCAACCAGACTTTTAGTATTGATTAGATGCTGAAAATGAAAATTTTTTACTGGTCCTGTTTAAACAAAAGCATTCTTATTGCAGTGCAATAAGTGAAAAGAGGACGTTTCTTTTGGACTAGCTTGAGCTTTACACTGGCGTTTATGGTCTTAATACTATTAAATTGATTTTTGAACAAATATTTGTTGTGAAGGGGTAGAGTATTTATTGAAGAAACGTATTTTTAGCATGGAGAATCACCACTTGCTTCACAAATCCCCGCCTTTCGATTCGAAAGGTACATCCTTGGGAAAATCATACTTATAGCCCTTATTGCCCATTTCTATCGGCTATTTAATGTGAAATTAATTCAAAGACACATATGACATTGTGAAACCCGTAGAAGTATATATATGGAGAGAGTTTTAGTATACAACCGGAGTAAGTAGCGAGAGAATCGCATTGACCAAATTTGAGAGTAATCCATTCAAAGGTACACTTACACTGTACCTCCTGCTTTTTTGTAGACCATTAGTAGTCGTTCGATAGCTAAAAAATAGAGATTCGAGTATCAGGCTTGATTTAAGAAAAGGCTTTTTCAGTATGTAATACCAACGAGGAAATAACTGCGTCTTCTTCTTCCTTCCGGGATAACTAGCTCAATGTTTAAAGTTACCGAAAGTTCTGTTGGAAGCTATATAGTGAAATTTACATGGTTGGAACACTCGAAGTGATTAGATAAAAACCGTTAAGAAGTGGCTTCAGTATCGGAGGCTTTTGATTCTTTGGGACGTGGAAAGATCAAAATAACTTGCAGTCTGCTGAGTTCACCACTTCCGCAGGCGGACATCCGAGGACAGTGAATAGTGATCGAATAGTGAGCGGTGTGGAATACGACTTCGAAGACAGTGCACAATTTACCTTACATTCCCTAATGTTTGAGACCTTCTGTTGGAAATAGTCACACAGACGCAATTCCCTTTTCGCTCAGAGATATTCCGTAACCCGAAAGTCTCCAACTTTTCTTCGAATCTTCAAACTACAAGTGATGCTTTAAATTAAGAAGGCCTATGCGTCAGGAAAAAATAATGCTATAGTAATCTGAGGAAAGAGCAAGAGCTTCTAACTTTCATTTGAACATGTTAGGTGGAGGCCGAAACAAATCTTGTGGTAGAGGACTTAGTTGCATTGTGGATAACGATACCCATCGAGAGATGGAAATCTGATAGGAACCATGTAGTTGTCTTGTGGGCAATCAACTAAAAGGAGTACGTAGTGGGCGCAAACGATGCGAATGTTCAGTGTCAAATTCATCAAAACAAATAGTGTGGCTGTAATACAGAATAAATGCGAGTGTTGAAAAGTTAGTTAGTTTTTACAAAACGATAGAACGAAATCTTTTCGCAGTACAAGAAGGTTTCGACTCTATAAGCCTCATGCTAGTGATTAAAAAAAAATTGAAAATTATTGACGAAGTGACATCGCATGCGGCGTGCGGCATCATTTTTAACGAAGAATTGATGAATTTTCAATCACTATCACGACTTTAGGGTATTTTATGAAATAAAATAGTTTCCTAGCAAAAAGCATTACATCGTAATTTTTAATCTCAAGAGAGCACACTGATAAAGTAATGCAGAGTGATGCGCAAAACTTTCGCGTTAGGCGGAACTCAAACCCACATCTCACTCTATCCGGGAGCGCGCTATCTAGTCCGTTGCCCTACTGACTCCCATTTTGCACACCACTCTTTCTACGTTACAAATCATTTATCTGTGGTGTGCAAATGGGCATCAGTAGTGCAAGGGGTTAGAGCACGCGCTCCCGGATAGAGTGAGATGTGAGTTCGAGTCCCGGCTGACGCGAAAGTTTTGCACATCACTCTACATCATTGGGTACTTCGATGAAATCTTACTCTCGCTAAAGCGGTTAAATAAGAATAATGTCGTTCGATCTTTAATACCCAATATCTGTAGCATGACTGGGTTTAATGTCGGTACCGACTACCCGGGCCAGGCCGTTGATGACTGGCGGCTGACAGATAGATGCGCTGTAGCGTAGAAAGAGTTGTGTGCATAATGGGCGTCAGTGGTTCAAAGGGTTACAGTACGCGATGCCGGATAGGTCGACGTGTGGGTTCGAGTCTCGCCTGACGCAAAAGTATTGCACACCGCTTTGCGTCACTGAGTTTATCTATGTAATCTTACCGCCACTAAAGCGCTCAAATAAAAATAATCTCGTTTGATCTTCAATACTGATAAAGTGATTGATCAACTGAGTATTATTCATTTGCGACACAGAGAGCAAGAACGAGTAGTTATCAGTCTGACAGATGTGAAGTAAATATGATCAAAACATGAATGAATATACATAAGACAGCATAGAAATGTACACTAACAGCTTGAAACAAAACGCTTTTGTGACTATGTGGCTTTCTCTTGGAATCCGGGACTTTCGGAGGAAGCATCGGCATTGTTCCTATCACAGAGAGCTTTATCGCTGTCTCTTGTATCATAATTTGCCATTTACTGGCGATGAAATTCTCTTTAGTGGCGATAAAATCCACATTTTACTAGAAGACTACCACAACGTCATTGTAGGCATCCCCGCGAAGGCGTCGTGTGTCACGTACGATTTCAATGTCGTTGTCAATGTGTTAAGCAATTTAAATTACTTATAACCAATAAATTCAGGTTTACTGCTCCAGTAATAGAACTTATGAAACAATATAAATGCGTGAAAAGCACGGAAATTCATACTATGTTGAAAGAAACTTGAGGGATAAAAACGATTTAGTCTTCTTATACTGCTTCAAAAGTTCGTGTACAATGTGACCGGCCATCTCTGACCCGTCGAACATGATAATGAACAGGAATTGAAGTGTTCACTGTTCAGGAAAAAAAAACACTGTTCAGTGTTCAGGAATTGAAGTGTTCAAGCAAATTGGAAAACACTTCCTGATTCGCATTTTGATTATATATCCAAATTAAAAAATAGTCATAATTGCTACCAATCACAAAACTGAGTAAAAAGACTTCTTTGGAATCCATAGCCAGAAGGCATTTATAGAATGCAAGAGGAGTTAGTCCAAAATATCTCTTTCTAGACCCGCAACACAGTTCTTGAACTTTCTTCCATGTAACTCATCTCTAGCATTAGATTACGATGTTAAGTATAACAGCAGAGGTGCCGAGATCCCAGCAAGAATGTGGAAAATGAGGTGTTTGTGAACATTCGTCCATCTTTCCTGGGGACTCCACTGCGCCATCAAGCCCTCGTCCTGCCTTTCTCCTATGCGTCTTGAACCCCTGCTCATTGGAAGAGTGATTATTAGTTCGAAGTTTCCTCAGTATCCATTACTCGTATCTTACCACTCTTGTAAAACTAGAAAATCTAAGGGGAGAGTTTTAAACATAGCCTTGGTAAAACTCACCAATTAGTAGGAAAAATGAATAAACAGCATGTGGCTTCTGCTCGCTCACTCTGGTATTATTCTGGCGGTATTCTCTGCGGCTGCTAAAGCCTCGCAAATATCAAATCTCGAAAGGCTGCTTCCTATGATCCTTGACGTGGCATGGTCAATTTCATCGTTCTGTCAAAATGCAAGAAAGCGCAGTCTCTCTGAGGAGATGATATATAACCAGTTTTTTTGTAGTTGTGATTTGCATGCGCATTATTACTGTCAGCTTGCAATTGCAAGATTTCATGTTGGAGGCAAAGTATATTGATTATTGCTTTTGAATGTTTTATAGGTTTGAGAATGTAGAATGTGATCAAGAACTAACAGAAATTCTAACGCAGTACCTGAAAACATCGTTCTCGACAGCTCAATCATGAAAAATTGCTTAGCATAGTCTTCAAAGTGCGACATTGATGCAAAAGTCTCTATGAAAGATTCCTGACCTAGTGTAGTGATTTGCAATTGGGTTGTAGTCCAATAAGAGGAGTGCAACCACAAGATGTGACGAAATTGTACAGAAGTGGCCACGGTCGCCTTTGATTTGTACCGAATGAGAGATCATCAACACTGCTCCTCTGAGGTTAGATTATTGCATGATTGTTGTGATTTCTTTCGTTTCGACTGTTTTATAGGCCATATTCAAAACAATATATAATCTGATAATGTGTCTTGAGCCTTTCATGAGGTTTGTCATGGCACCTATATAGTATCAGTTGAGTGTTTTGGCCTAACAGCCTCGTCAATTATGCCTTTCGGTTCCGTCAATTCTGCGTGGAGATATTCTCTACATAAAGGAACGAACGCCGAAATATTTACACTATCTCTCGGGTAGGAAATATCTTTATGTGGAAAGATTGAACCGAAAGACACCGTATAACTGACGAGGCTATAATGTCGAAACACGTGTCCTGCACTATATCAGTGCCATAACAGACCTCATTGAAAGACTCAAAATATTCTATCACATCATCTTAATAATTTTGATACGTGCAAAACTTGGCATCTGACTTGAAGTCACATCGAACCCAATTATCCTTCAACGGTGCTCACGTGTTACACACTAAACTATGCAGACACTAGTTCTGCCTTTATCTTAACCTTGTTCGAGCGTATCTCTGAGTGATGTCAATAATTACTTGCCAACGGGATTCATCTGACGAGAACCAATTAGCAAGAAGGACAGCCGGAGTGAGGGCTTCGATGGCATTGTTTGTAACACGTAAGCCCACGGAAAGAGTAATCGGGTGTTCGCCTCTAAGTTTTGCTCGTAACTCAACATACTCCTGTATTTCACATAATAAATGCAATGAAAGAAGAGTAGGCAGTAAATAGATGTGAAATATTCTGTTTGAAGTAACAAATATTATTGGACATTTTTGGAAAGGCATGACGTAAACATTAGATGAACAGAATCGATATATCACCTACCGTTCAGCATTTGATAGAGTGGTTATCATAAAATGTGTCGATAAAGTGTAAGCAATTTCGTCAACACTACTCCACTGCTCTCAACGCTAACACTATCTCTAAGGCTGAGTGATAATTGGAATTTCTGTAGGCCTCTGTATGGACGTCTGTTCAAGAGCGCATAAAAAAATAGAAATTAAAATCATGATATAAGTGCGCAGATTTAAATCACTGAGTTCTTCTTGCCTATCGAGTAGGAACTCTCAGCAACTCAAAGTTGTACAGAAGAGTTGAGTGACTCTGCTTCAATAGTTCGGGGTGATTTTTTTGCCGTGAAAAGCTTCCTCATTATGGGTAGGCACTGGGTGGACATTTCTTGCTCACTTACTGCAAAGGAGAAAAGTGACGGATGTTGAAAAGTTGACTGATTTGTGAGATTTTTGGTATTTTGTTGGAGTTAGAAATCTAATATTCGGTCGAATTAGATTCATGTATCATCTTTCAAGACTTGAAAAAGGTGGAAGCACCTGAAATAATTGCCTCCGTGAATTAGATGAATCAACAACTAAAAATTGTTCATTATGATAACATCAAGAAAACAAAGTAAACATACAGCAAAAGATTAGAAAGAGAGCAGATACATATTCTGGCGAGGCAATGCAGAAAGGCTTAATTCTTGAACTGTTTTATTTGATTTGCACGGATCGAAGTACGATAATTTTTCGTTGAGCCAGCCCACTGGAGTTATTTGATAAAAATGTTTTTTTGTCAAATTCAAATCAGATTTTTTCATAACAATTACTTAGAACTGAATAAATAGAAAAGGAAAGATGAGGGCTTTGGTATCGATTATTTGAGCATCCGAAATCAGTTTCTCTATCAAAGAAACCAGTTGTGCATAATTTTGTACATTATCATCATAATACCTCTCGTTTCAAGTATTTTCTTGGGACCACGATCAAAATTCAACATATCCCGTAAATGTTGATTGAGCCAACATGTCATGTGGTCTGTTATAGGGCAAACTTTGAGATTTCAAAATTTGAGCGTAGTGTAGGAAAACAATCGTAACGAAAGATATAATATATTAACGATACCAGCCAAGAGCAATCAAGTACACAACACTGCCCATTCAGTGATGATTTCACTTGATGGAGCGTATGAAATTATCGTCGCCGTCTACTCTTACTATAGGGGGCTAATGCTTCCCGAGAGGATTGGCAAAAGATGGAATGTACCTCTTAACTAATGATACTGTCAAGGTCGAAACATGTGTACCGTGTTCCATAAGTAAGCCTTATATAACAGACCACATGCGCGGCTCGAAAAATGATGATCTGGCATACTGAAATTTGAGCGTGGTCTTAAGAAAACACTCGAAACGAAAGGTATAACTCAGGTATAAAGGTAAAGCATAAGACTGTTTTTAGCTTTTTCTTCGAGCTTTGGTTGTGAAAATCTCACCGAACCCAGAGTGTTGTACACTTGATTGCTCTTGGCTAGCCTATTCAATATATCATAACTTTCGTTTTGAGTGTTTTCTTAATACCACAGCTCAGACACCAGCTTAGTGTTACTTTTTTGTTATTGGGGACTGGAGCACCCACACAGGATTGGCAAAAGACGAGAAAGGGTAACTGCCCGACTGAGGAGATCGCAAGATCGAAAACACGTGTATCGGGCTCTATAAGTCAGTCCTCCTTGACAGACCACTGACATGCGTGGCTCAAAGATGATTACCAGGCATATTGAAATTTGAGCTGTGGTCATTTAGTGTAAAGAGATAATAATTGATGGACAAAAAGATTATGAGCCTCCATCACAAAGGATGAAAATATTGTAAGGTGTCTTCTTACAATGGGATCAAGTGTGTTTATGGCCCATGTAAAGCAGCTCTACCTTTCAATCGAGTATTTTGAGAACTCGCTCAAAAACAACATAATCTGATGACTATTTTGAGCCTTTCATGAGGTCTATCATGACACTTAAATAGTGCAAGGCACGTGATTCTCCCTTAAAGGCGTCAGCTGCACTGTGGCTACATAGGTGCCATAACAAACCTCATGTAAGGCTCAAAATATGTTGTCACATTATTGAGCAAGTTCGAATTGGCACTTACCAAAGCAACGACATGCGGATTAAATGGGTATTGCAGATGACATCTTGCTTGATACAAACAACCACTACTGACCGCGATCGCTGAGGAAAGCAACAAGTGCAAACTTTCATTTAGTTAACTGGACACTTATACGGTCCGTTTTCACTATTTGTGCGGACCCCACCACATATT